TTCCGATTTGCGTAATCTTAAGTGCCTCACCAACATTTTGAGTCTTCTCTAAGTTTACGTAAAACAAGCTCTGTCTGTCTTAGGATGTATGCCTCTTACAATTACCCTGTATGGAGTATCCTCTCTCAGCTGATGATGGCAAAATTCACAATTTTTCGCCGTCAGCATTCTAACAATTTCGCGAATGCTTTTTGAGTGTTTAGCGTATATACTCATCGGCTGGGACTACAGCACTGATTTCTTCTTCTAATGTATCCATTTTGGTCACTTGAGGCACGCATATAGCTGGAGGCTTCGGTGACTCTAGCTTCATCGTCCTGGCTTTCTTCTTCCAGATCCATAATAGCATCTGCTTCCTCAGAAAGCGCTGCATAGCGATTGTTGCTTAATGCACTAGTTGCAGAAGGAGACACTGCCTTGGTGGGCACCTTTAGTTGGCCAGTAGCTTGCACCTTTGCCTACAAATTGAATTGGATACCTGCGCTCCATCTTTTCGCTTCTTGCTTACGGCTAGTTGCACTGGGCATTTGACATTTAGCGCAGCTATATGTGCCAGGGTGGGATATGTTGGGCCGTCCAGTGACCGCCACAGTGTAATTGGAAGTGGAAGCGCAGCTTGCTTGGGTCACCGCCAAAGTCTCTCTCTGTTAACGTAATCTGCAGCCGCTACCGCTCAGCAGTGGCTAAAAATAGATCGCGTTTCGTTTTAGGTGTCACTTAAACAAATTGTAACAAACTTATCACAATGCACGTCTGATGCAAACGACAAGCGCCTGCAGACTTCCCTTCTCATTCTACTCATTCACAACTCATCAACAATTTGCAGCTATGTTTAGCTCTAATACTGTAGAAAATGCGGTTTTTTTCGATTTGCCACCTCATTTTTGGTCAGTTTTTTGAACGAGCTAACGGTACCATAAGTGCAAAATTTGAATGCTTACGATCAAAAACTGTGAAAATGACAGGGTATTTTTCGATATGCCACGCCCCTAAAAAGGCGTAAAAATTAAGATTCTAGATTTGAAGATAAGATTCAAATTTGAAGATTCTAGCTATTATACTTTAAGAGATATAAACTTTTGCGGTTTGCCACGCCACATGTATCCATCGAAGCCTTTTGGTCTTGGCTGCCGAGTATATATACCAAATTTGAGGTCTTTAGCATTAAGAGTCCAAAATATAGCAGAATTCAAAATATCACTATATCTTCGGATCCGATTTTCCACGCCCCTAATGGGCGTATACATATAATTTTTGCCATAGCGTGATCCTGATCAAGAATATATATACTTTATGGGGTTTGCGATGATTCCTTCTGCCTTTTTCACAAAACCTGATTTCCCATTTTCAATGGGCGTGACGCTTGATCGAGCAGTCTCAGGCTCGAATCCAGAGCTCGCAATTGATGTTTAATTTTTCAATTGTTTCAAAATATTTGTATATTTAATTAAATGAGTCTTCTATTTCATTTATATTTTAAAATACATCGAATTTGAAGTTCTAACCATACTAAAAGTGCAAAAACGACCATTAGTTTGGTTCAGGGTAGTATCGAGTAGTGTGTATCGAGTGTATATAGGGGTGGGGGGTAAATTAACGGTAACAAAAAATGAAATTGTATAAAATGCATATATGTAAGTATACAGTTAAAATTTGGAGACTATAGGTTTAAAGATGTAGGAGATATAATTTTATAACTGATTTTCGGTAGGGTTTTTTATCGATAAAAAATAACGGGATGAGTAATCGATTTTTCGAAATAAACTCGATATCCGCGCTGTATATACGGACATTTAAAAAAAAAATTTTAAGTCTCTAGCTCTTATATCTTTTGAAATCGTCGCGCTCATACATACGGACAGACGGACGGACAGGGCCAAATCGAACCAGTTCTTCGCCCTGATCAAGAATATATATATAAAAAAAAATATATGTATAAAAATAGTTTTGGTACTTACACCCCCACACTCCCATGGACCTATTGCCTTGGATTTGCATTTAATAATGGATGATGAAAGAGTAAGCATTTGGAATTCAAATTTTGCGCATTTCTCTTCAACATATCCATCCCCCCGAGTATTAATATAAATTTAATAAAATGCAATGTGATATTGGGAATAATTAACAACGCCTTAGGCTTAGGTACAACGATAAAAGTTCAACTTGTAAAATACGTAAAACCAGCTTGGAACTCAACCAGTTTATATAATAGCCATTGATCGCGTATTACTCACTCTCACATACGCAAACAATCACACACACCCACTCACTCACACACACACATACTCACATTCACACACATGCATACATGCCTATCAGTCCAGATGGAAAGTCTATTATAATTGATGTTGTCATATATTATGAGCAACTCATAAGTTTTTGGCATCTGATATCAAATGCAATGCATCCCGGATGATCAACTGGTGAGAGGAGGAGGTGCCAACGCAGCTCTTGCCTAGCTTAATAAGGCTGCCAACTTGACCAGCAACGGTATACGGTAGCCAATTAATTTGGAGCACAACAAACAAACATACATACCTGGAAATGGCCAAGAAAATGTGCAGTTAGTAAATTATTTGCAGTTTTCACCTGGCGTATATTTGAAGCTGGCAACGTGTGTAAATCTCGTTAGGTAATTTTAATGTCATTTACACAAATTGATTATGTGCATTTTCCAATTGGCTTATAATTTGATTCCATTTTAATTGTCATAGCTTCGTTCAGTCATTCGCACTCACATTTTCATCGATCAAACCTGGTCTTTTGGATTTACCTTTGTTTTCAACTCAATTGGATCACAGTCCAGAGCATAAACCAGTAATAAGTTTAAGTACTCGTTATAGTTTGTTAATTGAGCTCAATGTCTATTGCAACTAGTAAATCTGAAGTGTCTAAATAGAAGAAGCCATTGAAAATGGGAAATCGTGGTATAATGGTTTTGTGAAAAGTATGTAACAGGCAGAAGGAGTCATCGCAGCTGAGGTGATATAGCCCTGTCCGTCCGTTCGAAATTGTGCTTGCAACTTGTTGTACACCATACGCAGTACGAGTTTATGATAGTTTTCGATAACTCACCCGATATATTTTTTATCGAGAATAATCGATAAATTGATTTCGTTTTTAAGCCTTATTTGAATACTATTAAACGTAGTTTTATTTACTAGAGAGTTGTACTTTGGAATGTACATACATTTGAGCATTGTGATCACGTTCTGAATGTTTCATGATGATAGTCCCACTTCAAGAGAAATTATTCAACAATATATTCTCAACATATCGCCCACACTGCACTATGGGGAAAAATCCAAATTATCGGGTATTAATTAATAACTTAAAAACTAAGCCAGATTTTTGGATCCGGTTTTTGTATTATTAATATGTATACCATCAGAAATATATTTTAGAAAAATGGGCGTGTCACCGCCCACCCAAAAAAAATTTATTAAAATTTTGTATTAAAAATTTTTTTTTTTTTTTAAGAATTTTGCTTGTTCATACTTTAAAATAATAATTTTAATTGAAAACAATCGAACTTTCATAAAATCGAAATTAGTTTTCTTCAGTTTCGAGTTCCAAATCAGCCAGAAATATTGATCCGCTAAAAAAATTCGGGTTCTTCAACTGATTTAATTGTGCCTTCAACTTTACATAATACAATACGTACAACTTCATTAGACAGCGACCTTTATGCTTTCAAACACTTTTCTAAAGATTTGCCGAAGAAATAATCTGATCAGATGTATCCATTGTTAAAAACCATCAGCGAAATTATGGATTCTGCTCTCATGCTCTCATGCATGATGAAATTAGTCTGATTTATAGACCTGGTTGGGCAAATCAGACGCTTCCCTTACCAAAAAAGCCTACAGGATGAACAGTACTTTCCATAATCTGCCTCAAATGAACAATTATTTTTATAAACATTTGCTGTCATAGGCAGTCATTCATAGTTGTCAGCTAGTTTTTGTTCCTGCTGCATTTCTTCCATTTGTAATTTATATTTTGGCAAAAAAAGCGGCTTTTGCTTTTTTAATATCATTTATAAGTTGAATCAATATTAGTCTTATTTAGTTTCAAAATCACAATTACTATTTCTTGGTTAGAGTTGCCTTTTTCATTGAGCCAAATATCACACAGGTCAGCTCATAGTCACCTGCTAAAAATTGATTTGCGCCGGTTGTGCGCAAAAGTGCACATTGAGACAAAGGCACTAAGATCCCAATTGATTACTCTATAACATGCAATTGGAATTACACTGGTGCGCCCTGGTGGCTGTTTTATATGTCTTTGCAAAGTTTAATTTTATTTACAAGAAATGAAATTTGACAACATTTGCTAATTATACAATAAATGATTAAAATAAGTTCAAACATCAATTGGTTTTTAAGCCAACGCATAGTAGAAGCCCTAAAAATTCATATCCTTTTTAAATTTCTCAAAAATAATGTCTGGTCATTGAATAACGATGATTTGAAAATCGGCTAACACAAATTGTAAGCTGAAGGCAAATGCTTTTCGAAGATAACAGCTGACTTTAACAGCTGTTAGGCTTAACAGTGGACTGTTATTCAACATTTTGGGTACAGTACCTTAAAGTTTGGAGTTTTATTAAGATGTTAACATAAAAAAATTATAAATTTTCATACTTCGCAAAAATGACTAAATACCCGAAAAACGGCAAAATTCCCCATAGTGCACTGTAGCCCAAGCGTAGTCGCTGCTAACTGCGCAGTTCCTGTCCATGTCCATGTGTTTATATATGTGTGCATTAAAGAAGTGCAGAATAATTTGAATGTTAGTTCTTTGCAGGGTTCAGGGTGTCTCTTAGTCGAGCAGTCTCGATTAGAGCAAATAGTTACAGCATATAGTCAGTAAGTATATTTACAGTCTTAGTCCGTGTCAGCGCTACACGGTCAGCGAGATGTGTGATTATAGCATGCCTTTGCTTTGGTTATACTCTGTGCTAAAATATGTGAATTTTGTTCATCTACTTGCTATAGAACTACATGGAAAAGGATCTGGGCAAGGTTGTGCTGTATACAACGAGCATGGGCATCATCAGAGAGACGTATGCGAAGTGCGCCAATGTCAAGCAGATACTGCGCACATTGCTCGTCAAGTTCGAGGAGCGGGATGTGTTCATGAGCATCGAGTACCAGCAGGAGATGCGAGAGCGCATGCATCACGAAACGATACGAGTGCCGCAGCTGTTCGTCGAGGGACAGCACATTGGTGTAAGTATGCGAAAGGTACTTCACTTTCTAGAAAATACATTCTACAGTTAAATATTTGGCTTTGCAGGATGCCGACACAGTGGAACGTTTGAATGAGAGCGGAGAGTTGCGACAACTGCTGCGACCCTATAAGGTAAGTCAAGCCACATATATTTTGCTCTGTAACTAACGTCTTGATCTCCTCTCGTTCAGTCGTTGGCCACGGCCTACACCTGCCAGACCTGCGGCGGCTATCGACTGCTGCCCTGCCCCTCCTGCAGTGGCTCCAAGAAGTCGGTGCATCGGAATCACTTCACCGCTGAATTCGTGGCCCTCAAGTGCATGAATTGCGATGAGGTTGGCCTGATCAAATGCCCCAATTGCTAAAGTCCCCTTAGCTAAGACGAGAAGACTCGAGAAGTGTTATTTTTTTTTTTTTTTTTTAATTTTTGATGAATATGGTATATATTTATATGTATTTTGTATAGCTTGTTATTAACAGTTGTGATATTTGAAGCGGTTGGCTGCATGTCTCGTATTTGGGATTTGGAATCAGCACGTGAACTGGCGATGTCCATGGGAAAGTTACGCGAAGCCTTGCAGAATATACATATATTATATACATAGTTTATGCTAATCAAATTAAGATATATACATATATATACATGTGTAAAATAAAATAAACAATAGTGGAACTTACACTTGCGCTGTCTTGTGAGTAGAATAAAATTCAATTCAAGGATAAAGGATAAATAATACTGATTATACTCTGAAAGACTCGAACTATAGTCTCTAGGAATCAAACTTTATTTATATGAGTAAGACTAAGTATTCCCTGATGCATGGATGCATGGAATGAACCGCGACTTGTGCAACGACGAAAACGATTTAGCCCTGTCCGTCCGTCCGTAGTCATTCATGAGAGTGAAAGGAGTATATTAGATTTGTGCGTGTCCGTCTTGCTGTCCGTCCGTTTGTTTGTATGTGAGCAATTTATTTCGGCACTATTAAGTCTCTAGTTAAAATTAAACTGCTGAAATCCGCCCACTAGTGGCGTGGCAAATCGGATATCAAATCGGAGACCACGTCTCTAGTAGGCGGATTTTAACAGTTTATAAATAGGAGATGGGCACGAGTATGTGTTCTAAATTTTAAATAGGAGACGCCAAGAATTATTGATACACCAGTTCCTGGAAGGGTTCAGGGTATCTCCTAGTCGAGCAGTCTCGACTAGAGCCTTCTTACTTGTTTCAATATGGAAAAAATAAATATTAAATATTCAATAAATAAACAGAAACCTAGACCTAGGTAACAATGCAGCGTATCATTTTTGGCCGTTATATTCTTAACATAATGAATTAAATTGATAAATATAATGATGCGGATTGATGGGAAATGCATAAAACTTATTAGTAACCATTTAGTTTTTCAAATAAAGGCCTCTGATAATAAAGTTATAGCCATTCTATGCGAAAGTTAAAGTGGTCAAGGGATGGCGTGATCAAAATTTATTTAGTCCGGCTCGTAAATCTATATAAAACTTGTGATTAAACACCCAACTTGTTTTACTTTGTCTACTAGTTTTAAGACAGATAACAGTGTGAAAAAAGCTTGATTTTCATACAAATTAAAGCGCGTGCGCACAGTTTTCTGAAATAATGACGTCACGCTGTTAAATGTGCTTTGCATAGCCACTAACCAGACAACACCGAGTATAAAGAAAAGGAGAGACAGAGTTAGGAAAAAGAGCGCAGAGCTGTACTTCATATGGAAATGTAGTTGCAGGGCTCGCACCGCACTGATTATGTCGTGCCTTATTATCACTGCTTGAGCCTCAAGAGACCGAACCGAGCAAATGCGAAGTTATCTGGTTTCTTCAGCACATTTTTTCGTCGTTGATAAATTTAATCATACATGTTAAAAGACACAGTAGGTTGCGCAAGGAGCAGTTCTGTAATATTTTCAGATTGTGCTCTGTTATCCTAGCTGAAGCTTGGCGGGCGCTTCAGCAGAGATCCGCCAAAATTAAGTGTATATATATACATATGTATAAGAAAATTTCCATAGTAAATAACTTAAAAATGGTCAATCACTAATTTTATTACTAAACAATAAAGAAACTAAATATATAATGGAATTAACTGGGAGGCCTCTCGAAAGCAGCAATGATATGACCAAAATGGCCAATATGTCAGCAAGAATGGTTGAAGAGCATCCACCTTCTCGCTATTAATCTGCACTATTTAAGCCGGGATACGCCACGGCAGGTTAATCGGGACGAAGGGAAAGGGAATAGCTACATAAGTTTTTAAACTATTAGGGCAAAATAAAACAAGTAAGAAGGTTCCAGTCGAGACTGCTCGACTAGGAGATACCCTGAACCCTCCAAACTGATATTCTAATCATTCTGGACTTCTTTTATGCACACATACATACACATGCACGTATAAGCACGCGCTCTACAAACTGCGCAGCTAGCAGCGGCTGCGCTTGGGCTGCACTGCAGTGTGGGCAATATTATGAGAATTTATTTGTTGAATAATTTCTTTTGTAGACATACGATCCTAATGAAACTTTTGGAGCGTAATCATATGGCTAAAATGTGTGTACATTTCAAAGCACAAGTCTCTACTACTTGAAATGCGTTTTTTACAAATTGGGGGCGAAAGGGGCGTGGTATCCAAAATCTGTAAATTACAAAATCTTTGTATCTATTTACTTTATATACAACGCAAATTTGAAGTATCCAGGTCTAAAAGTGTTCAAATTAAGCTGAAAAAACAATGTCGATTTTTCGATTATTCTCGATAAAAGAGTTATCGGACAAGTTATCGAAAAAATAAAGCAAACTTGTACTGCCTATGGTATACACGAGTATGCACGCCAAATTTCAGCTCTCTAGCTCTTATATCTTCTGAGATCCTTTTGCTCATACGGACGGACGGACGGACAGACGGACAGGGCTATATCGACTCAGCTCGTCGTCCTGATCAAGAATATGAGAGATGATTCCTTCTGCCTGTTACATACTTTTCACAAAACCATTATACCCTGATTTCCCATTTTCAATGGGTTCAGGGTATAACAAGTAAGAACGTTGCAGTCGGGCGTTACCGACTGCGGAATACTCATTCACATCCCATCAACAATATAGTAGTTAAGTTTCGCTCTAATACTGTAGAATATACAGGTTTTTTTCCGATTTGCCACGCCCTTACTGGGCGCAGACACCTCATTTTTAGTCAGTTCTTAGAACGTGATAACGGTACACTAACTGCAAAGTTTGAATGATTACCCTCAAAAAATGTGAAAATTACAGGGTATTTTTCGATATGCCACGCCCCAAAGAGTCGTAAAAATTATTTTTGGGTCATCGATAGAGGAGATTACTGGTAACTTAACTATCTAAATATTGGTATCCAAAATCTGAAAATTACAAAATGTTTGTATCCATTAACTTTATATACAACGCAAATTTAAAGTCTCCAGGTCTGAAAGTGTTCAAATTAGGCTGAAAAAACAATGTCGATTTTTCGATTATTCTCGATAAAAAGTTATCGGATGAGTTATCGAAAAAATAGAATAAACTTGTACTGCCTATGGTATACACGAGTATTCATGCCAAATTTCAGCTCTCTAGCTCTTATATCTCCTGAGATCCTTTTGCTCATACGGACGGACGGACAGACGGACAGGGCTATATCGATTCAGCTCGTCGTCCTGATCAAGAATATATATACTTTATGAGGTCTGCGATGATTCCTTCTGCCTGTTACATACTTTTCACAAAACCATTATACCCTTTTCAATGGGTTCAGGGTATAAAAAATTTCAATTGTTAATTTATTTCACATCTTTTCTTACTTTAACTACGTTTTAACTCACACGCTTTATCGTTTAACGTTTACCTGCTCTTTTCCCCCGTTCTCGTTCGAATCCCATTGCTTGCGCTCTGGAGCTGCCACCTCGCCTCTGCCGCGCGATCCTTTTCCACGGTGCCAGTGCAACTCACCACAGCGTCGGCCCTTTAAGCTGTCACCACGAGGGGCATGGTTGCACTGCCGATCTCTTTTATTAATTACTTACTACTAAGCTAGGGCATGTGAGGCGCTTCAATGAGCCAATTTACCTACACATTCACGTTGTACAGCCTGAATCCGCTCCAAAAACCTAGTCAGAAGCTAACAATGCTGCTTATCATCTATTGCCACCATATTCGAAAAATAATGAATGAATTTGGTACATATGTACATACAGTGACAAACTAAATTATTGGCACAGCAAGCTTTTTAAACTTTAAAGCAATTTTATAATTGTTTTTTAACGTTTTTCTAGTGAAACAAAAAATGTACTAAATAGAATTGGGTATTTATTAAATTATACAGTAAAAATATTGCGAAAAACATAAACGTACTTTTTTTGTAAATTCAATAACCAACAAGTAAGAAAGCTCTAGTCGAGAATGCTCGACTACGAGATCCAAACTCTGGATGCATGTGTATGTATGTGTGCATAGAAAAAGTGCAGAATGATTAGAATATCAGCTTGGAGGGTTCGGGGTATCTCCTAGTCGAGCTGTCTCGGCTAGAGCCTTCTTACTTGTTTCTAATGGTATTGAATAATTATTTGGTTTGGTATTTTTTATAAAATATATTGGGCGCTTCCACTCAGAGCGGAAGTACCCATCTGCCCGGCAGCGGGAGGACAACGTCATGTGTCATGCGCTCTGGGATGGCACGCCAAGCCGTTTTGACCATGCCGCCAGTTATGCCGTCTAAACCAAAAGAGCGTCTGCTCCAAAATCTGACGATGCAGTATAGCAGAAGCTGCAGAGCAGGACATTCGTACAGCCGTGTCAGTTGCTTGTTGGTCGTCGCTCATTGCGGACACACTCATGCATACGCCAAATTTTGTGATGAGTGTTGTTGAGTAGTTTGAATGATTCTAAGCACTGTTAGTGTCTAGAAGCCATCCTGGAGAGCACACCCTTAAATCCGGGCACGGTGCCCTGATTATCTGCATCGCTTGCAAATCTGCCTCTTCATCCGACACGTTACGACTTTGTGGTCAAAACTGACACACCTGTAGCAAGCGTAGGTTGGGATCAACGGGTGCCAGCGGAAAGAAAATCACTACACGTAATTCCTTTCGGAATCCACTAGGATATCCAGCGCCTTGCGTTCCAGCTGACCGTAGCACCAGCGTCGCTATTCCAGACTTCGAAGCAATCCTCACCGACTTTTCGAATGCTACACTGGAGCACTGCCGGAGAAGTGGTTATTAAATAACCTCTCCATTTATTGTTTCGTCGTGATGCTGCTGTCGACATTGATGACGTTGATTTTCGGCCATTGTGCTACGTTCTGAAAACCTCCTTGAGTCTGAGATTCGCGATAGCTCGCTTCATCTCGCCAGAGGATAGAGTGGGGATGATCGCACCGCCTGGCTTCAGCTCACGCACCTCATGTACATCTACACCATGGGAGAGAGAAACCTCTTTATGGATACGGCCAGCAACTTACTGAGGCGACTCCCAGGTCTCCGCAATTTTGCGGGCTCGAAGTGCAGCGAGTGGAGCAGCAGCAACAGAGGCGGTAGCAGCAGAAACAGTTGGGACTCCAGCAGTGGTGCGTTTACGCACGGTGGTTTCGAGCTCCTTGATCCTACCATACATCTACAGTAATAACTCCTGGTACTTGGACGCCA